TTTCGGCTGAAGTAAATGGCTTTCAAAGATTTTGATATTAATGTTCCCAAAATAACTTTTTACCCATGGTGCCCTTGGAGCAAAATTGTGATAAATAACAGAAAAGGGGAAAGGAAACCTTGATTTTTTTTTTTTTTTTGGCGTGTGTTCAACTGAAACGACAGCAACGACAAACTATACGATGTATCAAAATCACAAAGTTGCACTAAAATGACCTTCTGAGAGCGAGAAGGTTTGATTGAAGAATAGACGATTGTGCAGCGATTAATATTCACAACAGACTTTTGCTTTTGCTCTTAATTGAAGAAGTCGATTGGTGGAGATGGCGTTCCTGCTGTTTGACGTGTCAGTCGTTCCCTCCGTTCAGCCGTAAAAAAAGCTGTCGTGGCGTATATGGATTAGTGTGGCGGTGCAGGTGCTACACGCCTCTAGTGTCACTGCCAATGCGGCCCTCCGATGACTGCCGATAAATTCTCGCCGCCGTCGTGTTGTCACGGCGACTGCTGTGTAGCGGTTAAAGTTCTGATACAGCGGCTTACTTGCAGATCAGAGGTTTTTGGCAGTGAAGAGATGTATTTATCAGGAGGGGATGGGAGAGAAGAGTCAGGACGGGGTAGAGAGGCTGTCAAAACACCTCCTCATTCCCCGCTCAGCTGCTTCCACACCCTCCCCACGTCTGATGCACCCTTCCTGCCAGAAGCCAGGAGAAGATCAAAGAGGGCCAGCATGAGAAGCATACCCAGGATTCTGTTTTTCTCTGCCCTGTCTCCCTGCTCTCTTCGTTACTGATATGGAAATTCCAAATACAGCCTGTACCTCAGCCGCAAATAAAAAGAAAAAAAAAAAACAACCTCATCTGACTTTCTCTGCTTCCCCTTTTTGCTTCTTCTCCCCAGCTCTTTCTCACCCCTTCATCACGTCCCTCCATCCTTTGCTCCTGCCTCTTTTCAGCAGCCTTTGGGCTCCCAAGTAGATAGCATTTGATTGGCAGCTGCTGTGACAGTCAGTGGAACTGGCTGGGATTGGAAGAGCATCAGCCTTGCTCCGGGGGCTGAAGGCAGCAGTAATGTTCCAGCTCCCTGCTGTAGAGAGGGAGAACGAGAGAGAGAGAGAGAGGAAGGGGGAGAGGAAGAGAGTGGGAGGGAGAGCGCTCCATGAAATGAGAGTCACTTCTACTCAATTTCTACTCAACTCCACTAGGTAGAAGCTAAATAGGTTTTTTCGAATCGCTCCAGAGTTCATCATGGGACTGAGAACTTTTTTTTCATCTTCCTTTTCTGCCGCGATCTCTCTCTGTTTCATCATCTGTTTATCTTTGGTGTGGATGTGTCTTGGGTTTTATACCTAAAAATAATTATATTTTCTAAAAAGTTTACCTCTTTTATTTCGTTACGCCACAGTTAGAGATGTGGATATATTGTATTATATATTTAATTATTACATTTTTTTTTGGGTGCAGTTTTCCCAAAGTGGTTCTTTTGGCCAATGGTAAATAATACCTTACAGTAAATCAGTTGGGCGATTGATTGCAGATTTATGCTGGGATTGATGCCTAGGAGGAAGTGGGGAATTTTCAAAATAAAGTACTAAGACTGATAAAAATAAAATACATATAATTAAAATAAAAACTTTTTTTCTTCATTGTGGTGAGTTGCTGATCCATGGGCCTGGTACGGGGCCCACTAGTTGGTGTAGTACACTACAGTTACCACTAGACTATAGTCTGTTTATTAATTATAAAGCAGCCAGGGGCCGTTATCTAGACTGAGAAAAAGTAGAACAGATTTCACAATCCTTTGGTTAAAGACTGTTGCAGTTCTTTCCAACTACACACAGATTTTTCAGAGACTGGAAACTCGACACAGTGTAGATAAAGTACAATGCACCTGGTGTGCCCACCGAAATGGATGAAGTGAGAAAATCCATCTCTCACCAAAAAATATCACACAATCTGTGAAACTGAAACCAATATCAGTTGAATCTGTCTCCCCGTGATGTCGTGTCCACATATGTCGTGGAGTTCACGGAAAGAGAGAGCGGTAATCGGTATGACTTCAGCCCCCGCCCCTGTTCTCTTCCTCGCTGTTTCAAATATGCAGACTTGTGGGAATACCAGCGATGTGCATCTCCCAAAACGGACACAAATGACACATGTGCCGTCCCGTGATACGTGATGCATGAAGACGCAAAGTGAAAAATCTTGTTGTGTTGCGTGCGAAACCCACAGTAACAGGATAGTGCATGCCTCTCTGCCTCCTGTTCCCTCTGCATCCTCACCCGCTGCTGTCAGGGTAGTCGGAAATTAGTCATACTGTTCCTGTCTGGGTAAGAAAAAAAAAATCTGCCCTTTGAAAAACTTGTGAATACAACTTAATGTGACTCTTTAACGCCTAGAGGGGACAGAGAGATAATACAACCAAGCAAGACACGTGAAATTGTTTTAGTTCTAAGTCAGCATGACCAATTCACGTTGAAGGAGAGAGCGTTTGTTTGATAGCTCCAAGGATTGCAACTTGAGCTCTGTCCCTTCACCAGGAAAGAATTGCATCACTTTAACTTTTTACAAGTGTGCCCGATTCTCCACTGTAGGCAGAAGAAGATGTGGAAGGAAAAGCAACCAGAAATGGGACACAAACAAACATAGTAGAGAAGGCTGTAATTTACATGAGACAGATATGTTTTTAAATATATACGGAACCCCGACATACGAGTTTAATCCGTTCCAGGACTGAGCTTTTAACTCGAGGTGCTCATATCTTGAATAATTTGTACGTTACACGGTACCTTACATAAACTTAACTTAACTTCCGATTTATATTAGCTTTAGCTCATATTTATCGACAATTTCATGCTTTATTTCCATGGTCATCGTGCGTTTCTTCTTCTCACCACCATCCTTACCGCTCACCCTCTTAGGACTCATCACTATTATGAAGAATAATGCACAAAATAGAAAGAAAACCACGTAGATAACGCAAACACAATACTGAAAAATAGCGGGAGATGCGTACGGAAGTCGACGAACACGTGAAGTGAACGAGTGAGGCGGCGTGGCTGCTCCCAGTGCTCGGCGTCTGTTAGCGTGGTCGTATCTCAAACCTTTACTCGTATCTCGAAGCAAAAAATTTGCGTATCTCGAAATACTCATATGTCAAGGCGCTATACTATATGCATGGGTATTTATATGTATGTACATATGTGTATATAATAGATATTGAGTACTGTCAACAGCTTGGCTATTCAGTATTGAATGCAGGACGGTGAAGGACAGGCCCACATTAGTAAATGTGTCACAGAGTTATCTGCATGATCCACTGCGAGAATGCACAGCACAGCAAAGAGGACCAAATTAGAGGGGTTTTTGGAACGGAGCTGAAAATGAATCGTACTTCAGTGTGACACCAACAACCACATTCACCACTTTTCTATTATGGGCAGCTGGCAGGCAGAGGGCCTGTCAGATTGCTGAATGCCCTAACAAACATATGAATGGAAAGCCTGATTACTTTGTTGCTAATTATTCATTGGCTGGCACACGCACTCAGACTGTTAATCCTTGTATTTACAATGATTCTCTCTTATCACTGTTCAAAGTTACCTTGGCTTTTTTCCCCCACACGGCTTTTGTAGTCAGTGCAGTCAGAACAATCAAGTCCTGACACCCTGTAAAAAACAGATTTAACATCTTTTGGCAACAACTTTTGGTCCTTTATATATATACTGAGATCAAAGTGAATTAAAGTTTACTGATAAACTTTGTTTGCCTTCAACTACAAGTAATTCCTGTATTTTCAAGTACAGGAGAACCAGATATAACATCCTACAAATAGAGGTTTTTTTTACCTCAAGAGTGAAGGTAATAATATTAGGTGATATGTCTGAATTGTCAGTAGGATGCGAAGAGAAAAAAAAACTAGGCTTGCAATAATTGCAAAAAGCCAGCAGGAGTGATGTCACAGTGAATTTCTGCAGCAGCAAACCACACAGAGATCCTTAGAGAACGGCACAAAGCCGTACTCGCACACAGGCCCATAAACACAGCATCGTCTTTTCTGTGTGAATTATATGAAAAAGAAGAGCGTGGGTTATAAAAACTTGTTTATATGCAGATTCCTCTGTATTGGTGTGATGACAAACGGCGAATACAAGGAAAACACTTGTGCTATTTTTACCCAGAGACAAATTCAAAGCCGTGTGCATAAAGGCTGTTTGCTGCCATCGGCAAAGGTGCCGTCTCTCTCTCTCCACATTCAATGACTCCCATTAAAACCCATTTCCAGGATGTAGAAATAAATAAAAACTCCAGTCTGTAAATGTTTTTTATTTCATTGAACACTTCAAACTGCTGCTCTTAGATCTCTGTTTGGAGACATTCATCTTCTTGTAAGAGGTTGATGACCGGTCCTGGAAAACATTTTCCGACTCCCTCTGTTTCTCTTTGACCTGGATGCAGTCGATCACTACTGTCTGATCTATTGTAAAAAAAAAAAAAGAGAAGCGTAGTTGCTCTTTCATTAATATCTTATACTGCAGAGTATCTCCCTCCACGTCTGGTTGTCTCCACTCCTACTCTTCAAACTGTGTTAGTTGGCAGCAGCGATAAGCCGTGAGTCTTAAGATGATAATTACAGGATGCTGCGGGGAGTTGTCCTTACATGGCAACAAATCACCTTTTGCAGTTTCAAGCAGCTGCTCACTCCTTCAGGCAACAATGCTAACCTAGACATAGTTGGACTAAACCTAGCTAGATTGCTGACTTTGGCCTCCAACAACATGACAGTACATTCATTTCTGCACATGCAAAGCATCTGTAAAAACAGGAAAATTAATCAAACTGGGTCGTCTTTTGGGGCCGGATGTTGGAGTTTCCTGGGCTGTGTTTGGCCCTCAGGCCAGGGATTTCAACCTATTACATAGGATTATTGGAAACATGGGTGTCTGCAACAACTGTTTAATTATGAAATGCAAACTCTTACACTTGGAATTTCTTCTCTCTGCAGCTTGTAGCTGTGTATGAAGAACAAGATCCTCACAACGGAGGAGATGGAACCAGTGCCAGTTCTACTGGTACACAGAGTCCGGAGCCCTTTGTTGGCGACCTGAGCTCGGTGTCGTCCTTCCAGCCGTACCAGAGCAGCAGTGAGATTGAGGTCACTCCGTCCACTTTGAGATCCAGTAAGTCAACGCTGATATTCTGTTGTTCTTTTGGTTTTCTATTCTGCTGGTTCTTCTTTCTTAAATAATACATCAAGGTCTGTTTGGTTTAACACTCATTCTTCACATGAAAAAACTTTTATCTGGAGTTCTGACAACGACATGTCTTGTGGTATTCAGCGATGGTTTCTGAAATGCCCATTAATTAGGTGTCTATTTTCAGAGGCACGTAGCTTTTGCCAACCACAGGAAACGCACTGCAGTCAATGAATGCGGGCCAGAAACTTTTGGAAACTGATGAAATTTGGAACAAAATGATCCAGCCAGATGTAATCTGAGCGCGAGTCGTATCTCTTCGAGCAGAGATGGGGAGGTTGGTGTTGCACCATCCAGGTTTAGTGAAGCCGTGGAGCTGCCCTCTAGCTCTAGCTCCGTCTTTTCAGTTGCGAGACCCTACTGGTGTCCAGCACTGTGTCAGTGTAAGTCCAGGTTTGAGGCTCTTGGAATGGAGAAGTGGGCTGGTCGGGCTGCTAAAAAACAGAAGGAGTTGGTGGGTGATGTTTTACAGCCTTTGGCATCTGCGGTGCTGCATTAGTGCCTCAGCAAGAGTGAAAGACTGCTAAGAAAATGTAATTTGCCAAAGGCAGTATCACACAGCTTTTTTAAAGCCTCAGCTTGGATAACATCCAATCCATCCCTTGATTGTAGGAGTCAGTAATGATGTGGAGTAAAATTTAACAAAACACACATCCTGCGCCCCCACCCCCTTCCCAAAATAAGAATAAAACTAGATAAAATAAATAGGATTTTTTTGTTCTAATGCATAAAGATGGCAAATGACAAAATTAAATAAACTCTTAGAAATAAAAGTCCCATGACCAGCATTAGTGTACTGGCCGAGCAATGCTATTGGTTCATTGATGGCTTACATGCAGAGGACAGTGCTGTTGGTATGATTATATCTATGATATAATATAGATAATGATGATAAGCCCATATACATTAATATATATTAAGCCTTTTTTACCTGTCAGGCTTGACATGCATTAGGTAGAGTTGCATGTATGTCACGATTCTTCATCTATAACAATGTAGACACAGAGATAATGGAAGTTAATGAGACTCATTCAAACATTCAAACACTGCAAACACAAACTCATCACAGTGTTCAGAAGTACATTTCCATGTCTCCAAAGAGGAACTGTTGATGTCACACTGCGCTGTGTCGAAGTTTAACACTGTTGACTCACTATTGGGCAGATTAACACCACACCACACAGAACCAGATGACTTTAGTCTTCTGAACAAACCTCGGAACTTCAAACCTCATTTTTTCACCTCTATGTTTTTGACAACTTGGATAAAAAAAATGTTAAAATTAAAAAAAAAAGAAGACGAAAAACCAATCTGCCAACCTGCTGAAAACAAAACTGACCTGCAAGAACCAGTTTTAGTCAAGAAAAATACAAAAACGAATTAATCCATGACTGAGGCTCAGGTGGCCCTCATATTCAGCTAAACAGTAACGTCTGTCATGTTTTGGCAGAAAATCTCTGCTGCCTTGAGTTGAATTATCACCTCCAGATACATTTTTTAAAAATGTGCCCTATTTTCTCAGTATTCAGAGTTGCAATTTTGTGTCATACTGAAAAAAAAAACACAAATCTCCCAGCAGCAGTTTCACTTCAAATCATCATCATCACCAATAAATTAAACATCTGACATTTAAGAATGATCCTGTCTAGTCCGGCAGGTGTAGTATAATAATAACTCTCAGCTGAAAAAACGATGAAGAATTCAGAGAAGACCTGATTAGGTGTGCTAACAGATTAAAAAAAAAGTTTGTTATTTGGTTTGCTAGCCTGTAGTATTTTTACCTATTGTACATTGGATTTTCTATATCAGTGGTTCTGGTGGTATCTGTTCCATTACTTTGTTTCAACCAAACCCTGCTTTGTGCTGGACATGAGTTGCTCAGCTCACAAAATATTGCACAGATCTTCATGAGTAATAGGGTTGAAGACCTCTGTGTTAACGTAGCATGTTTTAAACGTCCTGTCGTAGCTCTTTGGCGTTCGATGTGTATATCAAAGTCACTTCTTAAGATAGGAAGAGACAGGCCTTCAGACAGACAGACTGACTGGCATCACATGCGAACAGACAGGAAGATGATGGTCCAGTCAGAGATGCAGATGAGCAAATTACTGGCAGCAATATTGGCTATTAGACATCAAAGTGCAGCCGCGGCGCCCTGGGCAGCTGTGCTCTAAGGCTGAGAATTATAGCTCGTTATAATTATCATCTTTCACAGTCGTATTGATTGTCTTTTTTTCTTCCTTCCTTCATGCAACTTTCAAATTCCCGAGCACTTACTCCTGCTTTCTTTCTGTCCTTCATCCTTTCCCTGCCTCTGCCTCTGCCTCGGAAATTCATTTTAGATTTTCCGACGCTAACATGTGCCGTGCAGGTCAAACTGCTAATAATTGGATTGGAGATGAGATGTAAATTACAATAATGAATGTAATTTTCCCATAATTATAGAGATGCCAGAGCAGCGGCTGCCTCTACTTACCACTAAATTTCGGAAGTAAAGAGTCTTTTACTTTTAAATCAAAGCTGCCTCTTAATGGTACTTTGGCATAAAATGGTTTGTTCCATATTGCCTTAAGAGTTCTTCGGAGGTTCTTTGTTTTTACACAGTCAAAGTGGCTTCCTTTGTAGAGTTTTGAAGAAAAAAAAAGCACGTCTAGTCCTGTGAGAGACCTCTGAAGAACACCAGAGGACGCTGCTCACATTTGGAGTTTAAGATCAATGTTTACAGCCTGGGGCTGCAGAGTCCCGTAATGTTAACAGAAGTGTTTTTTTTTAGTCCAAAGGACAAATCCGAGTGTCTTCACGGATTTTGTTTCCGCTGCGTCTCGCACTCAAGAATGAAGTATTAACACTCATCAAATCAGTGTTTTGGCCGTGGCCTCTTCCACTGGGCTGTCACTCTTGACCTTCACGGATTACTACTTTTTGAGCTTGCTCTCTGGCCATGGAGATTTTTTTATGACTAAGCTTTTATAGAGGCTCAATTACAGCTGCTCACTCTGAAAATTGGAGAAGCTAAAGTGCCATTGAGCTAGGTCAGGTTCTCTTGATGATGTAGAACAGCTTTGGAAACATTTCAGTGATTGCAGTGACACTTTTGTGATTGACCCCTATGATATAACTTCAACACCTGTTCAAAAAGTTACCTTTTATATTATGACCCAAACTTCTAAAATCTGAACGAAACACAGTCGTGACACATTTGTCCATACGTCTCCCGACTGGCTCCTGTGGTCGTTGAACCTCCACTCCCCTGGTCCTTGAAGCTCTGCAGTGACAGGGTTGCTGGGAGGCCATTAGAGAGATTGCCTGTGGGGGAGAAAGTGTGGACACCTTGGAAGAGAAGGGCCTTCATCTAATCAATTTGGCTTAGTGGTCTGCCACAGAGCAGGCGCCCTGCTGTCAGCCAAGGCCATATTAAAGTCAGAGCAGCAGAGGAGATACACAATGACACTGCCAAAACACAATATACTGCGTGAGTGCACGTAGTTCGGAGTAAGCAACATTAAAGCCGGAGTGATCGTGGACCTTTTGCACAAAAGCTCCTCCACTTAAAGCACCTGATATTTAGCATTTTCTAAAATGTTTTTTCGCAGGAACTCCGTTGTTTATCGATTGTCTCAATGGCAGACTGCTGCTTCATCTCGGACTTGGGCCACTACCAAAAGCTCTGATTGGCCCCTTAAAGATAACCAGGCTTCAGGTCGTGACCACGTGCAGCTCAGCCCGATAGCAGCCGCCGCTACTTACTGTAGCATAGTTATCGGCCAGCTCTCTGTCCAAGTGTCTCTGGTCCAGAACCGCCTCTGTAATCTCTTACTTCACTGGTGGGCAGGTGATGCTGCAGCATCTGTGGGCTTAGATAAACCTGAGAGGCACAGAGCTGATAACGGTGGCAGCAGAGCACCTCCTGACGGGCCCCGTCTTTGTCCCAGTCCTCTTTGTCCTTAGAAACGTCACGTGAAAAACTTCATTAACTTCGTCAGAGATAAAGAGTTTGTAACGTCTTATTATGCTGTTGTACTATTGTTTTTCTATGGCAGTACTATAACAAAGTGACAAAGTAAAAGCCTACAGCCAAATACATACACCTTCACCTGCCATAGAGCTGCAGTACAGATAAGTTATTGAATTACTAAGACGCTGCACACTTTTTTTTCTCCAAAGATTTGTCTTTGTTTCCCTTTTCTTCCTCTCTTTTATTTTGGCTTTATTTACTGGGATGATATTGCCTTTAGTAATTTACGCCTCTCTCTTCTCCGTGGCGCTACCTTTGTGATACTTTCCATCATAAGAAAACAGTCGCCGCGACGGGCCCGTGTCTGCGTCTACCGGTGGGAACAAAAGTATTCATTCAGCTGTGATTCTCTCCACTAATTTATCTGCCCTGTACTTTTCTGTTGTTCTGTTTATTACAGCAGTCAAGATCATATTAACAGAAGAGTCATTCCTACGCTGTTCAACAGTTGATATCAAGTACATCGTCGTGCCGCGGCGCGTTCTTTGTTCCGTCTACTATCCCCCGCGCTATCAGCAAACCGCCAGCCGACAACACTCCTCAATAGCTGCTAAGATGAGAACGCACTCAGCAGCCAGGATGTGGAGATAGCAGCAGGCTGAAAGCACTTTTAAACCCACAGGTCCCCGTGAAGGTCTGCACCGCTGCCCTGTATCTGAGTTAGCGTGGAGGCTTTTAGTTATGTCAACTTTTAATCATACTTGCACTTTATAAAAGGCAGGAAAGAGAGACACAGTGGTGGGGAAGGCTCTGCAAACTGCTGCGGAGTAGGCGTTTATTTCACAGTCACTGGGAATATCAGTCATAAAAACACTCATACTGTCATAATATCATACTGGGCTTATTATGGCTAATTATTGCAACTGCCGGCGCTGTTAAATTGTGAAGACAGTGTTTTGGTAATGAAGTG